AGACATGGGAATCAAATATGGGACTATATGCAGCCAGCCACTTAATCATCACGAGATGATTGCTTATACAACATTTGTCTCATTATGTGTAAGAACTCAGCTTGTTGTCTTGTGTGTGTGTGTGTGTGTTTCTCTCACTACCACTTAGTTTCTCTCTGCATGAAAATAGCTAAGCTGCAATTAAATAAACCAATTAAGCAGAGGTCCCTACTTCTGCAGAAACCTCCAACACAAGCACTCTTCCACCACTTGTGATGCTCACGACAACACATATTGCTTTGATGTAACATCATATAATGTTCTTCAACGAATATTGCCAAGAACTTCCACACATACAATTCAACTATATTCATATCTCTTTACTTTTTGTTCATTGACAAGTCTCCTTCCACCCACTCCGCCACAACAATGAGTTTCAAAATAGTCTAGCTAGCATTCTATATATGTATATATATAGCATTGTTATTCATTATTATGTCACAAAAGGAACAATATTTAGCAACGAAAGAACAAGTTGGGTTCTTGATACATCATTTTCTCTGTATCCACTTACCACTACGTCCAAACCAAAAAGGACCAGATAATTATTCCATGCTATTATTGTTCAGTGGTGAAACCAACCAAGCATGCAATATATATACATAGATACATGTAATTATTATTTAAGATATTTTTGGTCTTTCTTTGAATTAATAATAGAATTTGGGTTGCTTCATGCGCGCATATATATGCTCATTTGCATCTTTATGCCTTCAGCCATTTTTATCTTGCTTTTCTTTATTTTATTTTTTTTTTCAATTGCCAAAAGTCATTGGCATTGAACTCTGATTTTGACAACAACAAAGTAAAGAAGATTTTATTTAAAAGATATCTATTTTTTTAAAGAAAATGAATTTGAGATAAAAACATGTTTCTAAGATTTAGGGACTGTTTGAAACTGTTTTTATTTTATTGTTTTGAGAATTGGTGTTTTATAGAACATGTTTTGAGAACAAAAAATAAAAAATAAAAATAAGTTTTTTTCATTTTTTTTTATTTTTAGAATAATAATCACAGAACATCTAAAAGTTTTTTTCATTTTTGTATTCTCCAGAATAATATTTTATTTTTTATTCTCCAAAATACTTTTTAAAAATATGTTACCAAACAAATTTTTTTATTATTTTGTTTTGAAGAATAGAAACTATTCTCAAAATAAGTTTTTAAATAGGTTCTTGATCTCTAATTTTTAGTTTTTTAAGTATCACTGTTGGTACTGTGTTAATACTATCAATATTGATATGAATCCCTTATATTCTAAGCCTTTGATTTACTCTTATTTCTATGGGTAGTGTTCTTGACAATACCGATACTCTTTTCAAGGCTTAAATATTTTTGCATCCTATTACTTTGGGTAGTAAGGCCTTGACCGATATTAAGCTTTCTTATGATAAAAAATCACTTAGGGTATTAGACTCATTTTACTAGTATTCAACTTAGAGGGACTTGTTCTTCATTTGCTTGACACTACTGATATTAAATCACTACCCATATTAAATAAACACTTCCCCTATTGTTTCTTGTTCAAATCTTTTAGGACTCTACCTATTGTATTTCATCACAACTGGTATTATGCTTTCTACCTATATTGAAGTTTACATTACTCGTATTTTTGTCTTCAATGTGTTTTACATTGTCACTTCTAGTACTATTCCTTCACTATCGGTACTATGGTTGAGTTACAAGGCTCTGTTTCACGTTCCACATTAAGCTTCGCTTCTTTGATTTAATCCTTTAAATTCACTTTTAAGAGTTGTGCAAGTCTTCTTATTGATCTTACATGCATTTAGTTGTTTTTAACCTTTATTGCCGTAAGCAAGAAACTCCACTCTAAAGTATTGTGCAACACCTTCATTTCTAAAAAAACACACAAGAAAGAAGCTCAACACTCCAACAACTAGTTTAATAAGTCTAACAAATCTTTCAACCTCTTTAAACATAAATACACTCATTGATGAAGATAGATGCAAAAGTGTTAATTGCACGAACTATCTTATTCATTGCTTATCAATTTTTTGTTATTCCATTTATTATATTTGCACTCCATTAATTGTAAATCAACTATTTAAAAGAGTCTTCATCATAGTAGTTCACTTTATAAACTTATTTTGTTTATTTCTATTTTTCATATATGAGAATAGAGGACTTAATTTTGGGGAACTTAACTACTTAAGGAGGGCTAATCATTACTTTTATAAAGAAAAGTAATTTAAACTTATTGTTTGGGATTTTAGTGAGACGACCAAAGGCCTAGATAAATCTTAGTAGACTTAATGAAAAAATATAAAGTGAAGCTTGAGAGCTAGATGTAGGCTTGAATGGTTGGAATTGAACTAATATAAATACTCGTGCACTTCTCTCTTTCCTCTCCCCTCTCTCTCTCTCTCTTTCACTCTCAGTATATTTGATGATATCATTCCTTCTCTTATCTCATTTAATTTAAATGTTATTTGTCAAAATTTTAATTAGTTCAATTCATCTTTCTTTTAGGCATATTTACAATTGGTAACAAAATAAGTCATAATAAAATGGCAAGTTGAAATAAGGGGAACAAAAGCAAATTGCTTCTCAATCTCAAAATAAGATCAAAAAAATTCACACCAATCTTAAATAAGTTATGTTTAGGATATATTTTTACTGGCAATTAATTGAGTAGAAAAGTGTTTCCTAAAAAGAAAATAAGAAAAAGAGATATACCTATATCTCTTATTTTCTTTCTTGGTACATTTCATGTTTTCTTTCCCAAAAATGCTTTTGCAAGTATCAAACATTGGCTAATATATTAGGATCGGGGATTTCTTTATAAGTTTATGTATGTTTTACAAAATGTGAATATCTTCCAAATTTGAACATGTGAATGGAATCTAAAGGCGTCTTTTTTATTTTTTTTTAATATGAACATAACAATTATCTTTCAGTTATAAAATTAATTTCTCACTAGTTTTCCACTCTAACAGTCCGTGATATGGCCTTCAAGTTGATAGGTAAGCCTTGTTGGATGTTTCCTTCTTATTAAGTGTGTGAGAGTTTATAAATAAATAAGCATATAGCTCGGTTGATAGATCATACTCTTAGGTTTGTTTGTTTTCTGTTTTTTAAAACTGTTTTGTTTTTAAAAATAAAAAAATTTAAAAACTTGTTTGGTTAAGTATTTTTATTTTAATTATTTTTGAAACTATTGTCATTTTTTGTTTTTAAAAACAAAAAAAGAAACATTAAAAATTACAATTATTTTGACTAATTTCTATTATAAATCATCACTATTAGCCGCCTATAATTATTACTATCAATTTATTTTTAATTTTAAAACAATTTTTAAATTAACATAACCAAACAAATATTCATTTTATTTTGTTTTTAAAAATTATATTACAGAATAATTTTTAAAAACAAAAAATAAATAGAAACCAAACAAAACCTAAATAACTGCTCAGTTGATAGACATATTAAGAGTAAATGATAGTTTAATTAGTGATCTTTGGTTCAAACTCTTAGTATGCACTCTCTAGTAATGTGAAATTTTGCTTGCCAAAATGTCATCTTTTATAGAGCAAGAAAAACCTTGCCTTCATCACCTAAGGTTAACCCCTAATTTACGAAGAAGACATAAACTTGCAAATTGAGCCAAGCTTTAGCCTTTAAAAAAAAAAATAATAATAGAGAAAGAGATAAAAAAGCGAAACAAAAGCTGACTCATGCTTTATCCTCTTCTTTTTTTTTTATTCATTTGGGCTAATCAAAGCCCATTCACGAAACCCCTTCATGTTGCCTGAGAGAAACTCCCCACACAAGTTTTAACTTTTAAATGATTTTGTAAGGTACTGAAAATGGAATAGACCAATATATTCATCCAAAAATTAATAGTTAAAACTGCGTGAGTAAACCAATCATAAATAAAATATTTCATTAAACTAATTAAGGTAAAATTTAACAATTTATCAATTCAACCGATTAAGTTAACCCAAATTTTAATGCTATATTTATATGGGAGCATTTAATAACAATACTATTCCATATTTGGTAAGAAATTCATGTTTGGCTTGACAAATGAAAAGGCACTCAGAGAAAAAAAAATCAAGCATGTCAAAGTCATAAGCCAAGTCCAATTTTCTTGGTTTTTTTGAAGGAAATTAAAAAAAAATTACCACGAAATCTTAATTGATCCTATAACAAAGTGAATAACGCCATGGCATCCTAGATTTACTTGCACTCTCTAGGTAACGCCATGGCATCCTAGATTTACTTGCACTCTCTAGGTAACGGAGTACTTAAGAAAAGTAAGAAGAATTATATTAAAATCTCATACAAAAAAATTAATTATTACAAGATTCAATAACAAATAAATTAAAAAGATTGATAACTGATTGTGTTGTTAATTTCCTTAATTCAATTGTTAATGAACCTTATAATAATTAATTTTTTTATGTGAAACCTGAATGTAATGCTCCCAAAAAAGTAAGGCATCATAAATATTCTTTATTGTCAAATGGCATATAAGACCAGAACCAATATCAACATGATGACAAACAAAATCTACACCCATATAAACCTTTAACAAGCCTGCGCATGTGAACACTGTTCGTTGAATAATTTGTTTTACGAACACGCTTAATTTCGTATTTCCCACACACCATCTTCAACTTAATTTTGTAAGCTTTAACTTTCCAATATATAATATTAATACTTTTATGCTTAGCAACTCCATCAACTCGCCATGAAATCTAGTAGCAAGTATTCTACAGGGTGGAAAGAAAAGGCCATAGCCTATTTATTCTGCGTAACATGAGCTTACAAGATGATTTAACCCAAAATTCCCAAGTTACACAATAGGTGTGAAAATCTTGTTCGCAAAGGCCAAGAGACATCAGTTTAGATTTTTGAGAACACATTGGAGCACAGGATAATGAAAAGTCAATCGGATAGATGAAAAGCCTAAGATGTATATCTCAATGAGCAGCAAATATCAAAAAACGCCCTTAAGATAATGAAATTATGTGGTAATACAGGTGAGAAATACAAATTGCACAGGGAAGCCTAGTAATGTGACGTATTTTGGTTATTTGTCATATCTAAAATCCCACAAATCAGTGATTTCAGATCAAGCGCTAAAGAATAGATATCCAAAAATTTTTCAACAGCCTTCTTCAAAAGAGTACAATATGAGATACATTCCTACAAGCTTAAGCAGCCAACGTACCAGAAGAATCACCTACTTTAGACCTCATGGAATAAAAGAAATTCAAGACATCAGCATTGTTACGGATGTGACTTGGACATTTGGAAAGGAGGTTGTGAGCTTCTTCATACCTTCCATGCTTGGAAAAGGCATCGAACATACGGAGAAAAACAAATGTAGATGGAAAATACTTTGAAGTCATGCCCCTGAGAAACAGAATAGCATCAGATCCGGTTCCACACTTTGATACATGTTCAATAAATGGATCAATAAAAGGTGGGAACCCATGACTTCGCATTAAACCCAAAATATTTACGGCATCTGTAAATCCTCCCTGAACCAATAGGTTAGTTATCAGAGACTTGTAAGTAGAATGCCGGGGCTCTAACTGTTGTTCCCTCACCAATTGGCAGAGAATCTTGCAAGCATCAATTGCCCTGTTCTTTTGGCAATATGCATTCATTAACATATGGAAACTATAGCCTGCAGAAGTGACACCCTCTTTCTCAACCATCTTTTGAAAAGAATCAAAAGCTTTATCAAGGTTCCCAAAAAGACAGTGCCCCTCAATTAAGGATTCCCATGCCTTGTGATCCAGATTAGATCCAGATGCTTCAATGTTTTTCATAAATTCTGAAGCTTCTTCCTTGTGACCAGAAGCACTAAGACGAAAAGCAATCTTACTCTGTAAATTACCAGTCAACACAACTCCACCCTCTTCCAGTGCTTTCAAAACCTGATTACACTCCCTAGACCTGCCAACAGTGGTCAAAGACTTCAAGATGGAATCAACAATATAACTTGTCAACGCATTCCCACTTCCTGTATAAGCCCTCACAACCCTCGAAAACAAAGGCATATCAAACTGCTTGCCGACCACAATTTTCTTCAACAGAAAGGTACAGCATTCACGTGAAGGTTTGTTTGCCCCAGCCATAGCAAATTCATACAAGTCAACAGCATCCTTAATCATTCTCCGTTTACAAAACCGTCCTAAAACCTTATCATGTGTTTCTGATTCCATTTCATTCCCTTTGTTCCTCATTTCATGAACAAGTTTCCAAAACCTATCAATTGTATCTTCCCTTCCTAATACCCTGGCCATCGCATTATAGGTGCAGCCGTCATGTTTAAACTGCCCACTCTCCTCTACCCACCTGAAAAATATCAGGGCCTTATTTGGATCTGTACCAAGACCATCCAGAATCGATTTAACCATATCACTCGAAAACACAATGTTCAAGTCCAAGATTTTCTTTTCAACGTCATCACTCCACACATCATGCCTCACAATTTTTCCGACCCTTGAGCACATCTTCTCAGGTGAATTATCAATAGATCCTGATGCAAACAAAGCTTTCAACTTCTCAATATCACCATTCCTTCTACTCTCTTCGAAGCTTTCCATGACTTTATCGCGTACATCTTTTGATACCCCATAACCCTTTTTCTTCATAACATCAACCATGTCCCAGAACTCATTAACGAAACCACTGGTTCCCAAAATACATAATATCATGTTATAAGATTTAGAGCTCAACCTCCCACAATCACTCTCCAAAACCCAGTCAAAAAACCTCCTAGCAGCATCAGGGCTGGAACCAAGCTTCCATAAAAGCTTCAGCACCATATCATGATTAATCACGATATTGTTCAGTTCAATTTCTTTCTTAATATCATCGAAGTCCCTGGGTTTCGAGAATATATCAGCAGCAATAACAACGTGATCCGATTCATTCTGCTCAATAGCAGTCTCGGAAGAGAAACTACGAGTAGTGGTGCTTATAGGGTTTAATAAATCAAGTGAACCAGAAGAAGGTAAGGTAACTTGGCTGTGAACAGAGTGGGAATGCAGATGCGAAGTGACAGAGCGAAGTGATTGCAGATTCGGGTTGAGGTGTACCTGAAACTGAGGTTGCAAGAAGTGATTGGAAGCGTAAATGCCTGTGCGATGTTGAGCACGAAGAAGAAGAACACGCCATTGATTCTTCATCGATGAGAACAGGATTTGAGGCTAACTCGGGAAGAAATGGAAAGGTACGGGATTGGAGTGAATGGAGAACGAGAAAGGTGAGAGGAGTAGGGTTTTACAATTCTGCTCGATTCGGATTTTTGTCGTATTTTGAAATGAGGAACATGATTGGGCCATATTTTCGTTTTTGGACCTTTCTGTCCAATTAACCTCTGGACCCAATTAAACTTCCTCTTTAAATATATGGGTTCTTGGGCCTATTTTAATCATGCGACTTAACATGTGAATTATGTTTTTTTTTTTTTATAGAGAAACACTTTTCAACAAGAACAAACATAAAAACACCTAAATAATTCTATATTGAATGTTGGTTAAAAAAAAAATCTATTCTATATTGAACAGTAACAAAATGTGTCTTGTTCTTTTTTTCTTTTTTTGGTTTACTTATTTTCTTTATATTGGAGGTAATTATATTCAAGATGCATTTAAATATTTAATGTGAACACTTGTCTTAAACAAAATTTGAACTTTAGTTCATTATATTATAAAAAATTAATCACTTTCATTAAACCTAATCATCATTGGTTTCGGGTCTTGTTCCATTTTAATCATATTTCCCCCCACCTTTTCAAAATATATGTCTTTTAAGGTTTTGGCACATATATTAAGAAATTAATTGTTATGATAGAATTCTTTTTACATTTCTAAATTTGGCTTTGATTCATTTCATAATTAATAAAAAGAAAACAAAAGAAAAAAATGTACTTCTAAATAACATATTGAGATTATAAATAAGGGTGTAATAGAAAGCCAATTAATAAGTGTTGCATTCAGCTTTTAAAATAACATGTTAAATAAAATCCAAAAAATAAAAAATTTATATTTTTAAATAGAGAGAGTATAATTTAATAATAAATAATTAATTATTTTAACGTGAGCCCTTAGGCTTTTTTCTTGACCCAAAAGTGCCTAGGCTTTGATGAGATGTTTTACAAAAGGCACCAAAAAATAAATCACTACTCGTTAGTTTAGTCTAGTCTCGAAACTTTTACACTTCCATTATAATCAATTTAATTGAATGATAATGTCATAGTTCCAAAGTTTGTCTCCGTCTCAATCAGAAGTTACTTTTTACTCAATCGATTCCTGCAATCAAGATTGACAACTTCAACAAATAAAAAATATAAAATTAATAATCTACGTCTAAAAATCGATCTTTCTCTCAAATGACCATTTAAAATTCAACTCAGTCATTAAACTATTTATTTTAAAATTTAAATGATTATTTCCATAAAAAAAATCAAATGATTCTTTGGATAAACTATTTGTAACTCTTTGCTGCATTGGATGTTAACTTCTATACAACAAATGTGTGTGTGTGTGTGTGTTACCTGTTATCACCTTGAAGATGGAAAATTTAGATTATTTAAAAGATTAAAGTGAGAAGTATTACTTTTTCAGGGATAATTTTAAAATAAAAAAATCTTTCAAAAACTTTATTAATCATTTTCAGAGAATTTCTGAACTTACTAAATCCAAGCTCTTACATAACTACTTCTTGTGATCTTATATATACTACCTTTTTAATTAATTTATGAGAATTAAGAAAATTAATTAATTTAACTAATTGCATTAAATTTCTCAACAATTTATATCATTTTTTCTAAATTAAACTAAAAATTATCAGACCTTTCTCATAATTTCTTTTCACCTAATTGATTAAATGTAGAGTAATTAAGGACATTTTTGTTAAAAAATTAATTTATGCAGGGACAATTTGAAAAATACACAAACTAAGGAAAAAGCAAAATACATCTACAATGTAGGAAGAATTCTTTTCTTCTTCTCTAGTTTTGCTCTCCATTTAATATCACACCATTTTAAATCTTAATTATCTCCATCTGGGTATATATTGTGGGACAAATTGAAAATTCAAATCAGGACAAGTAAATAAAAAAAAGGCAGGAACTAGTTACAAGTAGTGAAACTCTTTTAATAATAGGTCAATAAATGGAAATTTTTACATTTCCAATCACCAATTAATAGAAATATTTATTTATATAAAAATGTAACACTATTAAATTAATAATTGTTCGATATCTGAGTATTAATTTTTAATTATGCAAGTGTGGAAAATATAATCTATATGAAACGATGATTGTTTAAGCATGAAGTCATTTAAAGGATAATTATAAGATATGTTAGATAAGATATTTAAAACCTTTTTATACATTTAACATTTATACATTTATTTTCATTTTTAAATCATTAAATTAAGCCCTAAAATTATTCCAGGTTATAACTTAAAAAAAACGTTATAGCCACATTAAAATAATAGTAAGATTTGTTTTTAGTGAAGTACATATATTGATAGCTATACAAGTTAGGTAATCTAAAAAACATGTTCATACCATTTTGCGTTTTGAAGTTGAATTAATGAATTTTGAGTGCTCATGTTAGTTTTAAAAATTTGTGTTATATTTGGTATACGAAACAGTCTTTTTTAAAAAAATAAAATTGAAAAGGGAAAATTAGACGTGTATATATTTGGTATACTTCATATGTTGGGTGCATACTTTAATTATAAAAAGGCAACAAAAATAAACAAAGAATTAAAGAGGAAAAGTCCAATTAATGGACGTAATAACTCTCTTTCTAAACAAGAAGAGTTACTAAATAGTTCATAAAATGTCTCCCAATTATATTTTTGCAGTAGGAATAACGTTACTAAACAAAAAGAGAACTTAAAAAAAAAAACTAGAGCATCAAAATTACATATGATTAATGCCCTATATATTATGAAACCCAAAATTAATTAGCAACAACGTAAATAATCAAACTTAGAGGATTAATTAATGTTAATCCCTCTTTCATCAATTAATTAATTAATTAATTAGTTCTTCTTGTTGATCCCAGTTGCATCCTTCACTGCATCAGCCGCACCTTGTGCTTTCTCCATCATCTGCTGACCAGCCTTCAAAATTTACAGAGCCATGAATCACAATCAATTTAAATGTTAATTAGGGGATTAATTATGCCTAGTGTTGAAATTAAGCCAACAATATATTGACACGTAAAGTAAAGGAAATTAATCCAACAAAAAAGAAGAAGAAGAGAATCAGAGATAGATATAAACCTGCTGAAGGGATTCTTTAGCAGCCTGAGCAGCATCGCTAGCTTTATCCATCAAAGAACCAGCCTTTTCCTATAATACATTCACACAAACATTTAATCATAAGTGTGTGCACTAGTAGTAGGATTTAGATTTAGATTTTATATTTAAAATCTCACATGAAATTAATGTATTTAAAACTTTTTGTTTGGATAATAAAAAAAAATCAAATTTGAAGACCACAATGAGAGGAAGATGAAAAATGAAAACATGAAGGAAACAAGATGGTTAAAGCGTCGAACGTTTATTTCAAACAACTAAGGCATATGGGGTATTTAAAATTACAAAATAATTGTAATAAAATATGGAATTGGAAAAAGTGTGTGTTTAATTTTCAGTTTAGTAAAGGTATAATAGTACATTTATTTTGGAATTTATTTTTTCAAATATCAATTCAATAAACTAAAAAAATTGTTTAGATAATATGGGAGTAAATTGAAATTAACTTCAATCCAGATTTCAAAAGTTAAAAGCTACCAAAAACTACATTTGCCAAATGAATTATCAATAATCTTAAATAGACTTTCATATCAACACAATAAATATTCAAAGAATATTTACATTCAGATGATATGTCAAGAATACTTTTCAAAAGGGATGAGTTGTATCCAAACAAGACAACCTTAATTTCTATGAATTCAAATGGTACATTTTACTCAAATTCAAATCCAAATCTTAATATATATACCTGAGCTTGGCCTTTGGCTTGGCCAGCATTGTAGCTTATCTTCTCGCTACTTGAATCCATTTTCTTTGGTGGATAGTTAAAAAAGAGGAAGAAGATTAGAGAGTTTTTAAGCTTGAATTAATGGTGATTAACGTTGAGGATGAGGCACTCATTTATATAGAGAGTCATTGTATTAGAGCATCACTTTCGGACTTAAGACCATAATATTTGTGATGATGCTTCTCTTTAGGAAATCCCATTTATATGATCGTTGACCACAATATATTATGATCTTGCAACGTGAGATCTAGGTTTGATAATTAATTAATTAATAATTGCATGTTAAGTATAGCCTCCGTACAAGACCCTCAATATGTGGCAATTTAATCAAACCTATGATAACATTTTATTGTTTTCCATATATGGTAAATGTATTATTGCCTAAAGTTATTTTTTTTAGGGGAAAAAAACAGATAAGTTTGAACTATGCACTCACACGGGCACACGGGATATTATGAAATACACAAAATAAATAATTTGTAATAGATTTGTAACATTACGATAAAGTAGTATATTTCTCATGAAATTATTCAAAAAGAAAATAAAAAAATTGAGAGAAGAGAGATTTCTCTTGATAAAAGTGAGTAAAAATTTTGAAGAAATTTTTTTTTCTCATATTTGTTTAGGAGAAACAATTTCTCTTAGAATAATTCAAGACAAAATATTTCTCTCAACAAAATCTAAGAGAATTTCTCTCAAAAAAAAATCTAAGAAAAACTTCTCTTAAATTTATTTGAGAGAACTATTTTAGGTTTAATACTAAATATTTTCAAATGAGCATTATTTAGTAATGATATTGTTCATATTATTAGATGTTTTGATTATTTGATTAGACTAAACACATCTGTACCATTGTGGAAAATGTCTATGACCATACAAAAAATAATAATAATAATACCATGCCCTTTATAAAAAATTTGTTTCCTTTTTTCTCTAATAAAAAGATTTTTGTGATTTCACTGGAATACTAGACAACGTATTTGGTTTCGTGTTAAAAGCCACCAAAACATATACTAAGATCTCAATTTGCAATCATGAAACGTGAGTCGCAACATAAAACTTTAATTCACTTCAATTTTATTTTCATATAGTAGGTAGATACATTTAAAATTACAAATGTGCACTCATCACTAATGATCACTAGATGCAAAAAGAAATATGTGACTGTTGGGGATTTCAGAGGAAGGATGAATTAGGTAGGCACTAGGGTGCTTGCATTACGAATGGGAGGAGTAAATTTCAGAAGAAGTTTCAGTTTCTTGTAGATAAAGTGCAGGGGAAACTAAGTAGTTGGAAAAGGCAGACTTTATCTCTTGCTGGAAGGCTCACTTTAGTTCAATCTATCACCTCTCAGATGGCCAGTTATCATATGCAAAATGAAAAATTGCCTGTTAGTATTTGTAAGTTACAACGAGATTTTGTGTGTGGATCAACAGAGGAGAAGAGGAAAATTCATTCATCGAGTTGGGAAGTGATGTGTTATCCCAAGGAGGTGGGAGGTTTTGGGTTGAAGGAGACTCGTGTGATGAATGAGGCTTTGCTAGGGACGGTAGGATGGAATGTTTTACCAAAACCTAATAATCTTTGCTCAATTGTTTTGCGTGAGAAATATGGGAAACCGGAAGATTTATTTAAAGATGCTGTTGCTTGCAAAAGATACAGATTCAGTTGTAGAAAATTTTGGCCAAAAATTGTTGATAGTGGGGCATGGGAGTGTTGAGGAGGAGAGCTTCTGGTTTGATACATGGTTGGATAATGGGGGGCCTTTGTATGAGGGGTGTATAAGGAGGCTAGAAGGGAGATTGGTGAATTGTAGAGTTAGTGACCTTGTGAATGAATATGGAGAATGGGAATTATTATATTTGAAGGATTATTTAGACGATGCTTATATGAGGAAGTTACGTTCGTGCAACAGTGTCACCTGATTGTGGAAATGGCTGTGATGAGATTAGGTGGAAGTGGTCTATGGGGAAGGCTTATGTAGTGGCTGATATGTATAAGAAGATCAGTGAGGATTTGAATATTGAGAGTGAGAAGGTCTGGAAGAAGATTTGGCAGTAGAAGGGACCTAAGAGAGTTCAGGTCTTTTGGTGGTTGGTGGCTCATGATATAGGTTGCTTACTTTTGTGAGGAGATCTAGATTATTGAGTGGATCTCCATTATGTTGCAGGTGTACTAGTGAGAATGAATGTATCATGTGCATGTGCTGAGCGACTGGAGGCACAAAGAGTATGGAAGGCACTTGGGCGAACACGGAGAGTGGATTGGGAGATTCACAAAAAGGTTGGGCATGTACTCTGTGATTACGGCGGAATTGTGGGGGAGCACTGTGTGGATTGTGTTTGGCGATCGAAGAAACTTATGGGAATAAGGAAGCTGATCATATTTCAATCCCTTCCTTGTGGGTAACAACCTGTAATTCGGACAAGTCCAAACCCGTTTAAAAAAAGTTAAGGTCAGGTTTGGTTATATAAACTTTTTTAAAAAGATAGGATACTTTAAACTCAATTTGAATAAGTCCAACTCAAATTGTGTCCGACTCCTAAAATTCTCGACTATATGTATATATAAAGTAAATAATTTTGGTTAAGTCCAAATGACAAGCCCAAACTCAACCTGAAAAAGTTAGAGTTGAGTTTGGCCATATTATAAGCTTTTTAAAAGGAATAAGATACTTTAAGTTCAATCCAAATAAACTCGACTCAATCAAATTACTAGGTCTACTTGACGAATTAATGAATACTTGTACAGAGATAGAAGGGCCATCTTTGTCCCGCATGAGGGGTTGGTATAATTACTATTTGGGCTTTGCCCACTCTTGTATATATAAAAAAAAAAAATTGGTTCTACTCTCAAGATTTGAGATACAAGTTATTACATTTTCCAAAAAATGGAATCATGGTTTTTATGATCTATGATAATATATAAGATAAAGTGTTTGCAAGGACAGTAATCAACATCAAAATTTAATATAAAATATTATTAGTAAACATCATTAAAATAAATTTGCCCGGCCTCTCGTTTCAGTGTATCAACTTCTACATGGGTTGAGTTGAATATATAAGCATGCATATTGTAAGCTATATAATACAGCTTAAGTTTTTCCCCTATTCTATGCTAACATAGCACGATGTTATCTTGATTCAAAAATTTTAAAAATGAAAATCTTTTACATGCTTTTACTTCTATACATATCACTAATAATTTTTTTCTTATCTCTCCCCCCCCAACAAAAATAAAATAAAATAAGTGAAAAAAAACCAATAAAAAAACAAAATCATGGTAGACATGCATGATGAGATCAATTCAGAAATATATGGACAACTAATTAAAGCCGTTGCCTAAATAGATTAATAAATCACATGCAACTCGGAAATTAGTTTATTTGTAGCAACATATATTTATAAATGGATCAGAATTAAAATACAAAAATGTATTGATCATCAGATTCAGATCTTGGCTAAAAGGTAGGATTAAGCTTATAGTCCTGTCCACAAAAACCATCGATCAACAAGATGACGAAGCGTTATTTAAGAGTGAAATGACAAGTGTGGCGTTGAAACCAATTCATTGCTTCCAGAAACTCTTTATATATACATATCAACTCACAACCTCATCATCATCAACAAGTGTTAATCAATCCTCACTCGGATAATTTCACTTATTATTACGTGTAATTCATATTTTGTGAAGAAAATGGATTCCAACAAGGCAAGCTACAATGCTGGACAAGCCAAGGGCCAAGCTGAGGTTCATTCATTCGTTCATGTTCTTCCCCTGTGAATTAATAATTATCTGTCTATATATTATTCTTCAAATATTTCGACTGAATAATTTGCAGTGATTATTATATAGTAATTAATGATTTGCATGCAGGAAAAGGCAAGCAACATGATGGATAAGGCTAGCGACGTAGCACAATCTGCAAAAGAATCCGTGCAAGAGGTATATATATAATTGAAATTAATCATATAAATATATATTATGAATTAATTTCATATATATATATATATATATATAATGGTGTACGTGAATATGTAGGGAGGTCAGCAGCTACAGGCAAAGGCACAAGGAGCTGCTGATGCCGTGAAGGATGCAGCTGGCGCCAACAATTAATTATTGAATTAATATTAATGAAGCTGCTTTCATTAATTAATCAATAATATGATGTTCTTCTTCTTCATTGAGAGCTCTAGGGTTCCTGATTCACTTGATTTCAGGATTTTAATTTTAATTTAAACTTCTTGATTCATTTGATATGCTTTAGGGGTTTTAAATTAATCTTTTTAAGAGATTTCGAGTTATTCTGACTCTTTATATGTATTGCCCTTATATCCGCCGTTTCCTTTTTCAATTGTAATTTCATCATTTTTGTTATAAGAATTTTAAACATCTTTCTTTAATTTTCTCCTTATCCTGGATATGATTAATTGAGCTTATGAAATAATTTTGTGACACGCTCGAGTTAATGCATTATTCAATTTTATATTTCATGTTGATATGTTGATATGCCGATTATATATATATATATATATATAAGCATATTATTTCAATATAACATATAACAAGATCATGAGAAAGAGAAAGATAAAAACGATTTTTTTTTTCTGGTAACTGCAAGCTTATTATGGTTTCATTATTAATTAATCGTAGCTAGGACATATGGCAACAATGATAAGTTCATAGGCATGGAAATAATAACTAATTAAGAAATCGTTTGTTAATCTGGGGTTATGGAAAGTTAATTATTTAATATATAATAATTTCAATTTCATTATTATTTACAAATCTCCACGCGCAATTTTCCATTTAATTTAACTTTTGATATTTACAGTTTTTCAAAAATTACAACTTAATTAATGTATTTTTAATTAAAAAATAAATGTGATTTTTCATACTAGTTAAGTTATTAAAAAAGTATTCATCTATTAAATCTTGGATACACTAGTTGAGTTGTTCATTTATAAAAGAAGAATTATAAATTTTGCAAAAATATTTATTAATCTTAGGATATTTATAATCGGTATTAGTTTTCACACAGAGTCCTTTCTGTAGTTTTCATTATCTTTTTTTTTATAATTTTTAAAGTCCTTTAACTTTTTTGTTAATTAACAGTCAAAGTTAATCTTGTTAACCACAAGAGCAATATATATTACATTGTTTTGAAATATTGAAAGGTTACACCAAAAATAAGTTTAGGGTAGTGGATCCTAGACGTTCTTGGATTTATAGTTTAGGGCAAATTTATTATTTAATTCCATTTTAAATTTCACATGTAAACAGATTAATAATAATTTATATGGAGCTATTTTTCAAGATACTTCTTGGTAAAGTTTCCTATTTGATTTATGATCAATATATCAAAAAATTGTATGGCATATTATATATGCACTTCAAAATATAAATAGAAAATTTATCAATTTCTTGATTGTGTATACACAGTTATTTTGTTATTATAAAACTTTCTTTGCAACATAAGTCAATTTTATTTTAATTAAGATAGAACATAAAAGGAAAAATGATGATTAGGGACCCGAGAAGAATATTAACGACAATTACAAATTCTAAATTATTGAAATCCTAATAACAAACTATTGTCCTTACTTGCAATAAATTATCTTTGCTTAAAGGTCACTTTTGCCCTTATATTTATTTCTTAGAAACACTGGGTACTCTATACTCTTAAGTGAGACAAAATTACCCTGAACTATTTTTCAGAAGATCAAAAACCCCCTTCTATTAATCAACTATTAATTTTTTTTCTATTGTTGTGGAATGTGCATGAAGCTCACGCACAACGACATATAATATGTGACATGTCCTTTAGTGTTAATTTATCCCTAAAGTCTTTTTTGAAGGTGTTAAGCACCTTAAATTCTTTTTATTGAAGTGTGGGCATCCTAAAATCTTGTGAAAATAAAATTGAATGGAAATTGTTAAAATATTAAGTATTTTAATATTTAATAATTTAAATATTATTATTTTAAAAATTAAATCACCCAATTTAATATATTTATATTTAAATATTATTTTTGCTAGTATTTTATAAATTTATAAATAATTTCTTATTTTTTATATCAATTTTTAATCTTCTCTTTGATACAGTATCCAAATCATTTCACCTTTTTTACATATCAAAACTTACTTATATTTTTAATATTGGTTAAGTTTCTTAATTTTTTTTGGTTAACTAATGATCTTCTTTTAAAATATTACATAACCCAAATTTAATACTCTCTGTACGTTTTTGTGTTAATAATAATAATAATAATAATAATATTCAAAATTATTAAATATTAAAATACTTAATATTTTAACAATATTTATTCAATTTTATTTTAATAAGATTTTAGGGTGCCTAACACTCTGAGAAAAAGATTTTAAAGTGTTTAGTACTCCTAAAAAAAGAGTTCATAAGTATATTAGCATTAAAAGTGGACCCTACGCATATGCCACGTCGGCACACGATGGAAAAATTGACGGTTGATTAACGGAATGGGGTTTTTACTTCTCTGAAAAATAGTTCAAGAGTAAATTTGCTCCACTTAAGAATATAGAATACCCAGCATCCTAAAAAATAAATATAGGGGCAAAGGTGACCTTTAACCCAATTATATTTTGTTGATTGACTTAAGATTCACAATGTATTTTAATAAATTTTGAACTAATGCTACAAAGATTTACAATTACCTTTTGTTAATTTCCTCAGTGGTAGCAAAAAATTACAAGTGATCAACTCGCGACTGACAACTAATTCTCATAAATTCTCAATTTACGCTGCAAGTAATTTGAAGCTTATCGAGTATATTTCTCAAGCAATTCATTTATATATTGATAGCAAAAAAATCAAAAGTGATTGGCTTGTGATTCACAACTCACTCTCATAAATTCTCAACTAATATTTCAAATAATTCTTACCGTATTTATTTCATTTTCAAATGGTTTATCTATATATTGACAATAAAAAATTAAGACTTATAATTAATTTTTGTAAATTCCCAACCGATATTATAAATAATTCCAAATGTATTTAGTAATAAATTTTTCAACTGACTATTCATATTTTTTTAATTGCAAGTAAATGCCATAGTTTGTTATTAAATTTTAATAATTTAAGGTAATTAATTGTTATTAATGTTCTTATGGGATCTCTAGTTGTCATTTTCTCCACATAAAATCCTAAGAAATCCAGGGACACAAGAACATAAAAATAGAAAATAAAATGGGCTAAAGTCAATTTTATATTAAGATGGTACATAAAATCCTAAGAAATTCGGGGACACACGAAGAATAAAAAGTAGCAAACAAGTTGGGTTTGTTTGATTATGCTTTTGTTTTATTGTTTGGAAAACTGATATTTTATAAAATGTGTTTTGGAAAAAAAAAATAAAAATTCATGTTTAAGTAATTGTTCTGGAAAATTATATTTAAGAACTAGAAAATATAAAAAATAGTTTGATAAATTGCCCTTAGAACAGAACAGAAGACAAAAAACTTGTATGATTAACTTATTTTACATGCATAGTTAATACTGGCATAATTTACAAAATTGCTATTAATGAAAACAGGGGGTGTTCCCATCTTCCCTCATCTAGAACAATAATTTTAAAACTTCTAAATGATGTTCCCATTTTTTAATTCTCTAAAACAATTGTGAGTTTTTTTTTTGTTTTTTTATATATAAGATTTTTTTTTGTTATAAAGAATAAAAAATGGTTATGAGAACATGACTTCAAATTGTGCCAGACAAACTCAAATAAAAAACATTAAGAAAGAAATAAAAGAAAATGGCACAAATATAGTAACCCACAATTACATCTACTTGGCCCAATTCAGATTTTGGGTTCTAAAGAGACTAGCCTCAACTAGAAGGACACTTTTTTTTTTTTATATAGAAACGATGGCCGAGGCCAATTAGATAAATTTAAACAGAAGCAATACAAGGGGAGTGGGGTCCTAAAGAGTCATTAAACACAAGGTCCCTTAAAGGAAGAGGGGCCAAATCATATAAAGAGGAAGTCAAGATTCCTTCTTTGGCTAAATAGTCTACAACTATGTTGATTCTTCTTGGAGTATAGTTGATCTGCACAGTCCAGCTGTACTGAAGAAGGCTCTTAATTTCTAAGAAAACAAGATTGCCATCATAAGTCTTAGAACTGCCAATACAGTCAACCAAGTTTCTGCAGTCTGACTCAATGATTACTTTTTTGAATCCCATATCCCATGCCAATCGAAGACTTCGAAGAATTGTCCATTCTTTAGCTTGAAATGGAGAACAGCTTCCAAGGGAAAATGAGAAGCCAATAATCCAAGCTCCAGTGCTATTACATAGAAACACCTCCACAACCTACCTTACCCGAGGTAGAAGATACAGCTCCATCTGTATTGAATTTGACCCAGTTTTTTAGGGGTGGTTTCCAATACATATTTTCAAAAACAATGTCATTCTCGAAAGGAGTGTGATTTTCTTGCATAATAAAGAGTTTCCAGTAATTTAAGATATCTTCTAGTGGGTTAACAGGTTTAATGGAATCAGGTTGGAAGATAATACAATTTCTCCATTTCCACAATTTCCAAATAGTAACACCACAGAGAAGATCCCAGTCAGTAGAAAGATTAGCATTGGATGGTGGTTTCATATTCCATGACATCCAATCTTTAAGATTAAAGGAGAAAAAAAGATGATGTGCACTATTTGGGACTAGAGCACGTCAGATTTGTTTGGCATAAGGGTAGTCCCTAATGATATGGAGAACATCTTCCTCCTCAAGGTTGCACCAGGTGCATATGGGGGAACAATCAGTCCAAGAGCTTCTCCACTTGTTAGTGCGCAGCTTGTTATGATAGGTAAGACACAAGAAGACACGAATTCTCTCGGCTCCTTTCCATTTCCAGATAGTTTTAAACAGGGGGTCCAATAAATTTGGAGGAGGTTTTTCAATCATAAAATAGGTAGATTTGGTGGTGAAAGAACCATCAGTAGTTCTATTCCAAAGCATAATGTCATTTCCTGCAGATGGAGAAGGAGGCAATAAGAATATAAGTTTGGAGATTACCTCTTGTGGCACTACAAGGGATAGTCTAATAAAATTCCAGGCCCCAAAGTATGTCCAGTCAGCAACTTTAGATTATGATTCTCCACCTGAGAGAGGGCGCAGTACCAAATCTTTAATCTTCTTGTCTGTGAATAGCCAGAAATTATTAAAAAAGTCAATAGATTCCCCATTGCGAAGTTGCAATCTAGTACCTTCATCCACTAGATCTTTGTGCTGGCAAATGAATTTCCAAGCTGTAGAATCGCTTGGTTTAACTTCTAAGAGATTATCTTCAGATCTGAGCATGTATTTTTGCTGTAGCAGATCAGCCCATAATCCTTTAGAACCCCTAACCAATTTCCAAGTGAGTTTGGTTCTAAAGGCTTTGTTAACATAGGAGAGTTTTGTAAATCCCAACCCCCCATGGGTTTTGGTAGCATGATGTGGCTCCAGTTTAGAGGATGAAAGCCTCTAGAGGTAAGGTTACCCCAAATGAAGTTTCTTTGGAGTTTCTCTATCTCATTACAAACAAAAATTGGTATTTTCAAAACTTGTATGGGGTATAGGGGCATTGCAGTGAGGACAAGCTTAGCCAAAACAACTCGGCTAGTGGTAGAGAGGTAGCTAGATTTCCAGCCAGCAAGCTTAGATTTGATTTTTTCTATAATATACTGGAACTTATTGGATGTTCTTCGTTCATTTGTCAAAAGAAAGCCGAGATAACGACCAATTTCCACAAAAACATGCATTCCGGAGATCCTTTTAATCTTCCCTCTCAGTTCTGGGCTCACATTTTGAGAGAAGAAAAAGGAGGATTTAGATTTATTAATTTTCTCTCCAGATGCTTGGCAAAATGAATTTAGATAGTTCATCATGACTGAAGCTTATTGTTCAGAGGCCTCTCCAAAAAGAAGGAGATCATCAGCAAACATGAGATGAGATATAAATGGACCTTGCTTAGTGATGTAGATAGGTAACTAGAGGCCAGAGTCGACCGCATCACTAATAATGTGAGAAAGTCTATCCATACACAACACAAACAAGAATGGTGAAATTGGATCCCCTTGTCGGAGAACCCTTTGTGGTGAGAAAAATTCAGTTTGAGTGCCATTCCACAGAACATTGTAGGTCACAGAGGTGATACAATTCATAATAAGATTAATGAAGTTAGAACTCATACCAGCATCAATCAAAACTTGTTGCAAGAAGTCCCACCTGACACGATCGAAGGCTTTTTCTAAGTCAATCTTCATTGCGAAGAAACCTTTTTCTTTCTGGCCTTTTTCATAATGTGCATTATTTTTTGGCCTATGATGATGTTGTCTTGAATTTGACATCCAGGTACAAAACCAGCTTGAAAAAGGGATATAAGGGTATCCATCAGTCCCTTTAATCTGGCTACAATGATTTTGGTAATACTTTTATAATGAACTGAGCACAGGGAGATCGGTCTAAAATGGCTAACCAATTCTGGTTTATCAGTTTTAGGTATAACGGAGATAAGGGTTTTGTTGGCTTCTATTGTTGAAGAGGAGCCTTTGAAAAAATCAAGCACAAATTTACAGAATGAGCTCCCTACCGTCTCCCAGTTGGCTCTGAAGAAAATAGGCAAAAATCCATCATAACCTGGTGCTTTGTAAGGCCCTATAGAGAACACTGCATTTCTGATTTCATCATTGGAAGGGATTGAAGTTAAACTGGTGAGCGAATCTTGATTGACAAGAGGGAAGGTGGTCTTAGTGTTCAAACAAAATTCTTTCGAGTTATCCAGGGAAAACAAATGTTTGAAATGCATAGTGACCAGCTTCAAGTCTTCTTCCTTATTGACAAGACTCCCAGATTCATCTTTTAAAGATAAAACTCTATTTCTTCTTCATCTCATAGTTGTCTTTAAGTGATAATACCTGGTGTTTCTATCTCCACTATTTATCCATTGGGTCCTGGTTTTCTGGAACAATTTTATTTCTTCAAGTTTCAGAATTTCCTCTAATTCAATGTGTAAGAAGGATTCTAGTTTACACAAGAATTTATAGTGTGGGTAGGCAGAGGATTTTTGGATGCCATTTAATCTGGCTAAGACATTTCTTTTTTTCCTTTCTACCATCCCAAAAACCTCTTTATTCCAATGTTGAAGAGATTGACCGAAGCTGTACAGATTTGATTCTAACTTATCAAGATTATTCCATTGATCCTGAAGAAAGCTTTTAAAGCTATCATGAGAGAGCCACATGGCTTCAAAACGAAAGGGCTTAGGATCCTTTTTATTGGAGAAATTGGATTGAAGGGAGATAGATAATGGGTTGTGATCAGAAAAGGAGGTCTTAGGAAGAACTTTCACAGCACACTCAGGAAACGCAGAGACAAAGGAAATGTTAGCTAATGCTCGGTCTAACCTTTCAAAGAGGCGCGTGCATCCATGAAGCTGTGGCCCTTTCCAAGTAAATTTGGGACCTAAAAAACCCAAATCCAAAAGTTTGCAATCATCTATTCTATCCTGAAACCAGCTGATGCGATTCAGATTACAGGATCTTCCACCAACCTTTTCAGAAGGAGATGTGATGTCATTAAAGTCACCAAACACAATCCAAGGTTCAGTAATTGAAGTTGAGAAGCTGGTTAAATTTTGCTAAAGTGTTCTTCAAAGATCAGAGTGAGGAATAGCATAGATTGCACTAGAAATGAAGGTGGGACTTCCAATTGAACTGCAATGGAAGTGAATGAACTGTCTATTCTCATTAAGAATACTGATCTGAACATCTCTACTATCCCAACCTAGAGCTAATTCTCCCGAGCATCCCACACTGGGTATAATTTTGAAGGAGTCATAGCCAAGTGAGAGAAGTTTCCGAAGGCGAGAGTCCTCTTCACAGCAAATGTCTAAGAGAATTAAAATATTGGGTTATGGTCGAGTCAAGGTTCCTTTGAGGTGTCTTAGGAGGTCTCTGCCGCAGGACCCCCTAGAGTTCCAATAGAATATTTTGGCTATCATTAAATAGGTAGTAAAGGATAGTGGTCCAGAGATAAGACCCATTTAAAATTGGGTTTCGGGAACCAAGGACTCTACTAATTGATCACTGACGTGGGAAGGTTGACTAGCACTATCCTGCTCCATTTGCATATTGGACTGCTCACCTAGATCAATTGGAAGGAGACAAGCATTTTTATTGTCTATATTTGATTGGGCTTCGGCTTGATGGAGCCCCAAATCAATGGTTTTATCACTCTCCTCTCAGGTTAGCATTAGAACTTTATCACTTTTAGCAAAATCTTTTACCATATCCCTTGTTCTTTTCTCGGCTTTCCTCGTTGATTTCCCCTGGCGTGCCACCTCATTGACCTCCTTTTTCTGCGACAATACTTCCTGCACCAATTCTTGCAGCAGTAGTGCGCTCGCATTATGACCATTTTGTTCCACTACCTGTAGCACGGCATCGACTTTCTTGAAACGCTAAATCGAACGTTTTTGGTCAAATATCTGATAAAGCCCACTTTTAATTTCCTCCAATAAACAAGCATATAAGATACGTGGCCCTTCCTGGCATTCTTTATGAGATCTGAAACTTGCGTCATCATAACCTGGAGCATCCATAACCCGACTCATTTCTTATCCTTTCCAAGTCTCACGTCATACTATTTATTAGCGAGAAAGATAATTGAAGACCGCCGAAGAAAATTAATGTCCATTGAGGACCATTCAGTCATATATAAAGAAATTTGAATTGTAAATTTAGATATCCATGTTGTAAACATATGCTCATTTTACATTAACCAGTTTGTGTGTTTAGTTTGTTTTTTTTTTTTTTGAGTGTTTCTTGTGAGCTTTTAGTGATCATAATTGTGTTTGGTTACTAATAAAATTGACTTCTTTTGACCAAAAAAAAAAATTTTACGTGGTTGTCAATTGCCATTCTCTCTTTTTATTTAAATAACCATGTTCGTTTATGTCATGTGGTTCATTTTGTTTTCCAAAGCAATTCTAGAGAATTCAAGTTTTGTATAAAAAAAAATTGTTTTTAAGAAGAGTTTCATGTATAGTCTAACTCATGATCCGTATTAGTTAAGATCTAACATGATTTTAAAAAATCAACTGGTAAATACAAAAAATTATTTTTTAAAATAATTTGCGAATCTAATTATTGATTTGATATGACAAATATTTTTTTTTTGACCAACTGATGTGACAAATAATTAGAATCATATACGGGTTTATAACGATAATTTGAAATTCATCTTAATTATTTTAAAATCTTGCCCCATTTAAAAAATTCTAACGTTAATATTTTAAACTTAGAGAAATTCTTGCATTGATCTTATATACCATGCCATCAATACTCCATCCCATAAAAACATATCATTTATAAATTAATTTTGACATTGATGATAATAGAGAGAGAAAATATAATAAATTAAATAGGTATTCTATTTTTAAAAAAAAATCATTAAAAATAATAATATATAAAATTTATTGGATTGAACTGATACAATTTTATTGGATTAAGCATTATTGGTGTTATAATGATAAATTCATGCAAGAATTTTTTAATTATATATATATATATATATATATATATAACTAGTTGAATAGAATTAGCAGGTTTGATGATGGTTTGTTTTAGGGATCTCACTTAAGGTAAATCCCATTAATTATTGAGATTCTTGCACGTGGTGATTTGTATTGGCTATTAATTAAAATATTATATTTCCATATAAAACCCCAAATTTACATATACGCTTTTTTTAATTAGTGATTAACTGATTATTTGCCATACATATGAACTTATCATTGTTTTCATATGTCTTAGCTACGTTAACGAAACCATAATCGGTAACCAAGCTGCTATCTCATTTCTCTATTTCTCCTAATCTTCTTATGTTATATTTGCAGAATATGCTTTACATATATAATCGTCATCAATATATCAACATGAAATATAAACTTTAATTCCAAGAGAAGCCACACTATTTATAAAAACTTGAATAATGCAATTCGTGTCACAAAATTATTTCATAAGCTCTATATATGAATCATATCCATGATGAATTACATGGGGAAAAAAAGAAAGATATTTTAAAATTCTTATACAAAATGATGAAATTACAAGTAAGATCAAAATGAATAAAGAGAATGACTCGAAAACTCTTAAAAAGATTAATTTAAAACCCCTAAAGAGGATAAATTAAAATCCAGATATGAAGTGAATCAAGAACCCTAGAGCCATCATATTATTAAGTAATGATTAATTAATGAAATCAGCTTCATTTTAATTCAATAATTAATTTTTGGTGCCCATAGCATCCTTCACTGCATCAGCAGCTCCTTGTGCCTTTGCCTGCAGCTGCTGACCTCCCTACACATTCACGTACACCATCATATATATATATATATATATATATTTGAAATTAATTCATAATATATATTTATATGATTAATTTCAATTTTATATATACCTCTTGCACGGATTCTTTTGCAGATTGTGCTGCATCGCTAGCCTTATCCATCATGTTGCTTGCCTTTTCCTGCATGCAAAGTAAATTATAATTATTTATTAATTAGTATATAATTATCACTGCGAATTACAATTGAAATATTTGAAGAATAATGTATAGACAGATAATTATTAATTCATTAGGGAAGAACATGAATGAATGAATGAACGAACCTCAGCTTGGCCCTTGGCCTGTCCAGCATTGTAGCTTGCCTTGTTGGAATCCATTTTCTTCACAAATACTAACAAAACGTAATAATAATAAGTGAAATGAAGAGAGAGAATTGATATTCAAAACTTGTTGATGATCGAAGAGGTTGTGAGTTGATATGTATATATAGAGAGAGATTCTGAAAGCAATGAATTGATTTCAACCCCACACTTGTCATGCCACTCTCAAATAACACACTTCATCAACTTGTGGACGATATTACCAGCCCGATCCTACTTTCTACCTAAGACTAGTTATTTTAGGACATGAATTTAGTTTCAGATTTTAATTCTAATTAATTTAATTTAAATATGTTACTATAAATTAATTAATCTCAGAAATGCAGGTGATTTATTAATTCATTTGGGCAACCCTAATAGCCCTCCACATTTTTTTGAAATTGATCCCATGTCTACCATGAATTTGGTTTTTCTTGGTATTTTGCACTTTATTTTATTGGAGAGAGAGATTAATTATTTACATAAGTAAAAGCATGTAAAAGATGACATCGTGTTAGCATAGAATATAAACAGCTCACAATATACTCGTTCAACCCAATCCATATAAAAGTGAACCGCTTACTCTAGACGTGCCAAAATTATGATTATTTACAATATTTAATTAAAAACTCAACCAATCATTTATACGTGATTAAAAAAAGTTATTTATAATCATCCAGTCATTATCAAACAATTATAATGAATTAATTGAAAAAATTGTTTATATGAATTAAAAAAATCATATATATATATATATATATATATAGATAAAATTTGAATCCAATTTTACTGTTAAAAATCTCTTATTTTACCGTGTATTTATACAATACATTTTATTCATTCTTTTTATTATGTCTATAATCTAAATTCATAAATAATATTTTTTAAGAAAAATACATGCCATGAACCTTTTAAATAAAACACACGAGTGTTAATATAAGGGCTATGAAAAAATAACATTGTTTATGAGTTATGAATGTGACGACTTAACTCAAACTTTACACCATTATAAGTCATGAATGTCACTAGATAGACTCAAGGAATTATGGAAAGAATATTTGACAGATGTGGTGCTACCTAACTATAAGTGCAGTTCTTCACACAAGAATGCCAAGATCGTCCAATAGTAGAAGCTATTTCAATTTTTGAAATGTCTCGATGATTCCTAGCAGCATGAAGGACTCGAATCTTGCTTATGAGACCCTACCATCTGTCAACCAAGTATATTCCATGGCGTCTTAAGAAGAAGCCCAACAACATCTCACTTCTTCATCTACTCGAGCATCTTCACAATACTCTGCCATGGCAACCAAAGGTCAAGGGAGGTATGAAAAGGCTTGAGGAAATCCCCATGGTGAATGCCAGCACTATCATTGTAACATCCTAATTTTTACACAAGAATTTAATTGTGGTAATTGTGGATAATTGAGGAATAAATTGTGATTGAGATTTATTGAGGTTGATTAATCATATACAATTAATTATTATTAAAATTAGGCCTAAAATCATGCAGTACATTCAATGGGGGGCCCAAAATAGGTATTAGACCGAATTGAGTCCGAAGTGAGTAATCTCAAAGTTGTGATGCACGGCCAAAAATTTCAAATATTTCATTCTATCTCTTGACAAAACAAAAGAGGGAAAAAATTGAAGAGTGGGAGGCCAAAATAAGAAGGTTTGCTATGGTTTCCAAATTGAGCATTGGGCACATTTTACAGCATTAAATCCTTAAGATAAGCTCATTAATTACTCTCCTACCCTCTCATCTCTATTTCTAAGCGTTTTTGTTGGTTTTTAAGGGTATAACTCCAACCATTGGATTCAAATTTTAGGACTTATTTGATGTTAAATATGCTTTGTTTAGGAAGTTTTGATGATTATGGCAATGAGGTGATTAAATTTGAAAACCCTAGATTATTGAATGATTATTAATGATGATTAGGGTGATTAAGGTTTAAATTCGTGATTAGAAAGTGTAATGAGAATGAGTATGACTAAATTTTTTATTAAAGTGTATAGAAGTGCATTTGGGTTATGAGATTAATTAACCTAACAATAGAATTAGGGTGTGATTAATACTTAATTACAATGTTAATGATGTTTTGCACTTTCTTATGTGTAGATTGAATTGGTGAAGGTGATTGTGGTGGTGCACTACTTGTCTGTAGAAGTGTTTTGCTTGGTAAGAGCAAATGTAACATTTATTAATGTATTATTGTGCGTGTTTTGTGATTGATTATATGTGTTTTATTAAAAAGAAATATTATTTACAAAGTATATTGTTTGAAAATGCATATTATTTGTTTGGAAATTTATATTGCCAAGTTGGTAAAAATTGTACATGAATATGTTAGTATGAATATATCTGCTTGGAAGCATGATTCAATTTGTTCAAATTCATCATTGTTTGGAAATTTATCCGCATAACTTGTCTGGTTTGAAAAATAATGTTTGGGATTTTATTGTTCAAACTTTGTTCAGGTGCCATATGATATGGCCTTATTGTCATTGGGCCTAATGGGTGGCTTGTAATTTGGATTAACTTTCCTTTAGCTAGTTAAGTTGTTAGTCCATTAATGACAAATTATTCTCACCCAGTAGTCCATTAAACACTAATTAATATGACCCAATAAGTCAACTCTCAACATACCCATGTTCGATGTGTTGTTTTTTTTCCAATTCATTGTCTCATGTAAGGCTCAAGTTGAATGTCGTATCTTCAAGCTCAAGTTATATTAGCTAAGTTTTACTTTTTTATGCAATTATTTTTAGCTATAACATTTGGTCTTCATATATAAGAAAACAAACTGACTTTTTCCTCATAAAATTGAAATATAATAATTTTAATATTAATATATCAGTCTGTATATATCAGAACATTTCCAACTGTATTATTTATGCAAAAAATTGTCTCCGTCTATGAATATATTCTAATTCTTCTCTCTTTCTTATTATATTCTATCAATCTGTTGTGCATATATAAAATTTTATAAATCAATTAATTAATGTTTATTATATATTTTATAATTATTTTCAAACATGAATATTTTTATTTGTGACTTGCTTAACATCGAAATTTCTATAAGTGACTTTATTTGATTTTTAAATCCATTGTATTTCACTATAAAATCTAAATATCAAACAAACACTCATCAGGTATTATATCATATAGCAAAAAATATAAATAACCAAAACAATCGTGGAAAAATAAACACACTTTATTATTATTCATATAATACTTAACAGCATATGGGTCAGCCCCACACAGGGGGTACAGGCCCAGAATCAGTTAAGAAAGCCACACACTAGAAACAAAAAAAAAACTTTCAGTAATCATGAAAAGCTAAATAGCATATGTTGCCCCACACCAAACCATAACCCCAAACTAAATAAATCATTAAACATAAACACGCATAAAAACATTATTAAAATCCCCAAACTACATCTCGTCCCCTTCTTCCTTCTCGTCCTCACTACACCAGCAGCTTTTCAGAATGGACCTCGGAGATGCACAGCCATCAGCTCTGACAAAATCATAGAACAAAACAGCCCCACCAGCCCCAAGCACTTCCTTGTTCTTCTCTCCAAAGTCGTATCCTTCACTGGCGAGGGTGAATTTGCTGATGAGAGCTTCATCATGCACATCAGTGTGCAAAGCAACAGAAAACTCAGCTGGCTGGAAGCATGCCAAGACCCTTTCAACAAGACCTGTCAGAGATTTGTCATCAAAATCATATCCCACTGCTTCGAAGCTTGCATAGCTGAACCCATCTTCTGGGGTGACATGGATGGTAGAGATTGCATTGTCTTCTATGGCATTCATGGAATACCCACATGGGTCAAATTCATAATCACATATCTCAGATTCAGGAAGGATCTTGCGAATTCCGGAGTCTTCAGTCATTGACGCTGCAGAACTTGTGTTTGCTTTGAAGAACACAGAAGCATGTTTCTTATCTAAACCAGTCATGCACATCTCCAGGGTGTAGGTTGGTTCTGATCCACATTGCAGGTGGGCACTGGCAGAGTAGACATGCCATAATTGTGACTTTTCAGGGTTACCCATCATATATGCTTTGCTGCCAGAACCAAGGTTGCCAAAATAGCTATCAAGAACAGCAACTTCCTCAAAGAAACTACGATGCGGGAATGGTTGTGCCCCGGGAAAAATAAAGCTTCCACGAGTGTATCTCACAGATTTCACAGCAAGCATAAGAGCATCAGCCAACTTAAGAATGACAGGGATCGACAGAAGCAGCTTTGTAGTGCCGCAAGTTTTGATGATAACTTTGTAAGGGTAGACAAATAGGCTAGATTCTGAGAGAACATAGGAATCAACAAAGTCATTGCACAGGGAATCAACAATGGTGCACTCTGCCGGTTTCAGAATCTCATCCAATTGGTCTTTGGACAATGATCGGAGGCCCACACCTACAGGATCAGCAAACAGACCAGGCTCAAAGAATGATATCTCAAGCCTCTTTTCATAGCCTTCAAAACCAATAGCAGAGCCTGTCAAGGCCATCTTGACGATAAGGAGGAAAGTGTCGTTGCACAGACAGAGCACAATTGAAGAAGGAGGACAAGAAGGAGAATGACAAGGAGACAGAGAATGTGGAGGGTATACTACTATCACTGTATGCAAAAGCTCGGGGTTATGTCGCAAACAAGGAGGGAATCTCAGGATGGCTTTCGAACGCACTGCACAAGAAAAACATGATGTTAGACATAAGGAAATCATTCTAGCAATAATTCTCTCCAAATCAGAAGAGTTGAATTGGTGACTTACGTTGGAGTAAGCAGCTGATCTGAACTTCTTGATTCCACCGTTTGGTCGAAGGTCTTCAATGGTGTAGCCAAGAGGAGCTTCGTAGAATAAGGATTTACTACTACTAGACTTCTTTTTCCCACCTTTAGTCTCCATCAGTTCATTCACAATATCCTGCAAAAAATAATAAACCACAAACTTAGGTTATTAGTTTTAAAAAAGTTGAATTTGAAGTGGAAAATTATACTTTCAATCTCTACAGTTGCATTCAATTTTTGATTTGGTCATGATAAGTTAAGAATCTAAAAACCTCTTGGTTAACAATATACACAAGGCTTGATTGAGCATGATGGCATCATGCAATCCATGTAACTTATCTCACCTAGTGAGATAAGGCTTAACATTGTATATTTCATGAAAATTTTGATTTAGTCCCTATTATTGATATTGATTATTGAATTTCTGGGAATATTTGTTAGCTTTGTTGATATAATAAATTATATATATGATTCATGACAACAAATACAAAAAAAGAAGATTAACTCGCGTTGAGTCAAATATTGATTAAAACATATCAACCACGGGTAAATTAAAAGTGATTTGAATTACAGGCTTGACTATAATTTTTGAACTATAAGGAATACATTTAAAATTAAGAAAAAATTTAGAGACTAGAAGTCTGATGAGCAATAGATAAAAGGAAGGGTTACGAAATAGGAAAACAAATCTAGTACTTACTCAGAACATAATTCCAGTAAATCATCAAGATTTATTTCGCTTCTACATCGATATTTCAATAGTAATAGCCAGATAAAAACAAACAACCAAAGTTCATTCCCATACATGTTGAGAATCAAATCCTAAACCCTCATCCCTCCAACAGAGGAATGAGACTAACATCATACTTGGATAGAAGTATAAAATGTAAAACAAGAAACCAAACTACTAGCAACATGATAAATCATAAACAAGAGCCTTCAAGATTCCCTGAAACCATCACATTAAACGAAACCTCATATTCTCGATTGCTAATTAGATGGTTATATGTTAAAGATGAACGTAGAGCACGAAGACATGCAGCCGATCAGTTTATAATTGTGGCATAACACGCAAAATCACATACTTACTGTTATAGACGATCTTTAGAATAAATCAACTTCAATGGTATCGCGTTTCAGAAATCAGACTTGACTTCGGAATCCGAATGAATTAACCTAAAACAAAACAGAGAGCAGTCAACGACAAAATCGTCGCAAGAATTGAAAAAAGAACAAACAGGCAAATAACAATGCACTTACAGTGAATCAAAATTGGAGAGGCCGAGAACGATAATCAAACCGCGATCAGAACCTCAATCGCCAGGGGTCACAACACGTCAGAGAGAATATAAGATAAACGCGTAACGCAACGGCAGAGTCAGAATGGCGTGGAAGATGGGGAGGCCGAAGGAACTGTTTATATAGTGCGGCGGGTCATAATGAAAGTACCAACATGCCCTTAATCAATTTAATAATTTCTGATTCCCTCCCCGGTTTTCTGAGCCACGCAAACTTTGTGATCTCCAAAAAGGCGAAGAATCTGAAATTGGGTCCGAAAAAGTAGCGGAGAAGATTGAAAGAATACGGTAACGTTGGCTATAAATAATAATAATAAATATAAATATAACTAATATTTAAGATGGAAAAAGATAAGGCTGTTATGTAATTTAAATCTTGGATTATAGTTTTAAGAATGATTTAAATTTTAAATTTTTAAAAATTATATTATAAATTTTAAATAATTAAAGTTAAGGTAATTTCACTCGACTATTAAATTTAAACAAACACCCATCATTTTTTTAAATTGAGATTTGTGTGCAATTTTCACAATTCATCTCTTTCTTATGCTCATTTGAGAAAAATTACATATTAGATTTTAATTTTTAAAAAATTGATTGACGTTGGTTCAAATTTAACGATAGGGGCGAAATTATCTCGACTTTAATTATTTAGGATTAAGAATGTATCTTTTAAAAATTTATAATTCGAATTACCTCTGAACTTATAATTTAAAATTTAAGTTGCCTGTTAACCAGAAAAGATAATGTGATGAAAAAATATTTTTTATTTTTATACATGAATTGATTTTTAAGTGATAATGATAAGAATAATAAAAATTATCTCGATGGCAAAAAATATGAAAACTATCTCCTGCATTATGAAACACATCCTATTAGAATAAAGTTACAAAGCCTAATCAGATAATATTACTGAATAAAAAGAATAGATTTAGGGAAATCCCTGTTAATTATAGATATTAAGTTATTAATTCAACTATCAAGTATGAATCAAGCATTAAAAATAAAACACCAAGTGGATGTGGCACAATTTGTTGCCCTTTTAAGTATTATTCCAATTCAAAAGTTCAATTCTCGAAAATATGTATGAATCCAGTGAATTGTATTGAGTCAGAATTTATAAGTTACAACTTAGAATTATAACTGAATTATTAATAATTAAAATTTAGAGACTAATTATAATCAAATCAAAATTATAAATATAAAATGAAATTTTTCCTCCAAAAAAGATATCGCTACCCTTGTCCTACTAATAAGGTGTTTTACAAAAACAAAAGGCTGTTTTAGCTATTATGTCATATTATACGGCAAATAAAAAGAAAACGTTACTGTCCTTTTTAACAAATAACAAAACGATTCATTATCCACCTTTAATCAATGAAGGTATAATTAAAAACGTTACTCTGCTTTTTAACAAATAAAGCAACAAACTCTCTTCATTTAAAAATATAAAATATTTTTAATTAAATTTTATTCTCAATAAAATAGTTACATACTTTTCAATTAACTCTATCTTTTCATATTTATTCCTATTAAATACCCTATAATAAATATAAAATTATTATCAATAGAGATACTTAAAAAAAGATAATGATTACGAAAGATTAAAAATATTTTATATTTTTTAACATTTAATTTTTTAAAAAATATTATATATTTTTAAACAGAGGAAGTAATAAATAATAAAATAGTAAATTTTTTTTAAACCACGTGAAAATTGTCTCAATCACTTTATAAATTAGTTCTGAAAGAGTAATTAGCATTCCCCGCCCCCCCTTCTGTGTGTGTGTGTGTGTGTGTGTGTGTGTGTGGTGTTTTAAACAAAAGAGACCCAGCCAGCTTAAATTTGTGTGAGATTACTACAATCAGTTAAAAGCAAGGAAACAACAATGGAAAGGGGAGCAGAGGTCCGATGAAATCCAGGCTGGCGTATATTTTTTAAAAAACTTATTTTATTCTTAAATATAAAAGATATCATGATAATTTTAAATGGAGATAGAATTAAAAATTTATTATATTTTTAAACAAAATTAATAAATATCTCTCATTGGTTCTAATAAGATAGTTCGAAATAAGGATAGAAAAAATATATAATTAATAACTACAAAATTAAAAATACATTAAATTTTTAAATAAAATTATTGAATTTTTTACATTGTCTTAGGTTCTATAAAATATGTACTCATTCTGTTAAAAAATATAGAATATTTTTATTTTTTTAAGATGTAATTATTATTTTTTTAAAAATTATTTTTATTTTTTAGCAAATTTTTTATTAAATAAGTCATTTTATATTTATTTTAAAATAAAACATATTTTTAAACAAAAATAAATGTAAAAAGGTCGAATTAATTTAAAAATAAATAATATTTTATTAAAATAAATTTTAATTAAAATATTTTATATTTTTAAATAAAAAAACTTACAAATAAGGTCAAGATTTGCTAGGTGGTTGGCGCATTAGACGCACGTATGATTGGCAAGGAATAATAATTATTTAGTAAAAGGATTAGGAAGAATAAATTACGTAATTGACAAGGAAAGAACTTTGGGTCGGCAAGAATGAAATGATGAAGAGACAGGACCGCGAACTCGAGAAGAAACAAGACGAGCAACGTGTGAGCTGGGTCCTCGCAGTCATATCTAATTCATCATTAATCACCCTCCTCTCCACACGTTTCTCTAGCTTCGTCTGTGGATCCCACCCAATGTCCTCTTTTTACTTTTTAGTGCTTTGTTTAAAAATATAAATTATTTTTAATCAAATTTAATTTTTTAATTAATTATTTATTTTTTAACTAATTTAATTTTTTTATTTTTATTTTTATTAAACACCTATAATAAATATAAAGTTATAATTAATAGGATATTTAAAAAATAATAATAATTATATTTAAAAAAATTAAAAATATTTTATATTTTTTAACATTTAACTCCTTAAAAAATACCTTATATTTTTAAATGAAATGAGTATGAATTATACCTTTTTCATTACAAATGAAGAAACAATTTTAAATAAAACCTTACATATTAATAATTTCATTAAATATATTTAATAATTTTATTTTTAAAAATTAAAAATGTAAATTTTTAAAAATACTCATAATTTAATTATTAAAAAGAAAAAGGATAAAAATCAGTTATAAAAAAAACGATAATGTTAGAATAAACTTATTTAATAAAATTTTAATATTACCAAAATATTTTATGTAGACGTTGAATATCTTTTAAAAATATTTAATAATTTAAAATAAAGGAAATATTAAATTAGATTTTAGATTCCATGTAGTGCACAAGAACACTAGTTTGTACCATTTCTTTAGAGGAAAAATGCAAAAGTTAAATTTTATTTATTTTTTAAAGGGAATGATAAAAATGTTGGTAAAAAGAAGGAATGATAAAAATAAATAGATTTTTAAAAATTTTTAGTGACTGCAATAAATTATATTTTAAATTTCTGGTACACTATAAGAAGTTTTTTAGTTATTAAAATATAGAAATAAAAATAGATGTTTAAAAAACTATAAAAAAATTTTTTATTTTAAAATTTGTTATTCAATTATACTCAACTATATACAATAAATTCTGGCCAAAGAA